AGAGGGACATGATGAAGTAAAGCAACCTACTTGAAGCTTGCCTGCTTCAAATGTGACTCCAAATTCCATAACTAAAGAGCACAAACGTATCATCAAACATTAGGCTAGTGGAAAAGCTGAACAAGACATGCTTTTCGGTCTCATAAAGGAAAGTATGTGTAAATCAGCACAAATACTGTAAGAAAAGTTCTTTCTGAGGGAACATTTTACCTTTTCTGTCATGCAGTAATGAAAAGAATTGCACATCTTTCTAAAATGCTTCTTTGTTTATTGGTAGCATAACTACCCTGTGATTTTCGCATAGAAGTGATAGAGTCTTTGGAAGAAAAAGTTGACAATGTACTGAAACTCAGCTTCAATTCAATATCTAAAATACTGAGACGACATGACATTTGTTAGAGTGGTTAAATGGATTCAATGAACATTATATATGAAAACACATGTTAAGTGCTAAAGTGGCAATTTCACCTTTGATGACTTAGGTGAGGAAATAAGAATAGTTATGTATCTTTCCTGAATGTTCTACCAAGCAAACCAAGTCACTCACTGCAATCGTGTTCTATAAAATTAAACCTACACAAAATTTATTTGTAAATGAAAAAGATTTCAGATAAAAGAATGAGAGCCTGGTTCAGGAAAGGATAACGTTGGCCACTGCAGTTCTGTAGAGGCCTTGAGATTTTCTGATTTTTATTTAACACAGCACTGGTAGAAAAAAGTTTTAATTCAAGATTGAGTGAGGCTGACCTGTATAAGCATACCTGCGCTCACCACACTGTATGTATTTCTTTACTATTGGCAGACAGAGAGAAATGTTTCCTGGACTGCTTGTGCATGCAGAAGTAAAGGAAAGTGGGATGAGTATTGCAGATGAGTTAGTGCCCCAAGGTTGATGAGGTGCAGTGAAGAGTGTACACTTTTTTTGAATCTCTCAGTGTCACTCGTGATTCAGGCATGATGTCTCAAAGCAGTCCTTTTCATGTAATGTACGTGTCTACACAGACAGCGGAGGGCTGAGAGAGCTCCAGTAATATGCTGTGTATCACAGTCTTGAGTGTTAATCAGTAGTCCACAGGCCCCCAGTAGCCTCAGAAGGAATCATTTTGTCCCTTTCCCTATCGATAACAAGCCCCTTTGATCCTGTTGAAAATGCAGAAATGATAATACATATGAAGCCTGTGCTGTGCACCATCCAGATTCCCCAAGTGATGCTTGGTCCTCTGGGACCTTTAGTTTCTGAAACAGTTGCTTAGCACGGGGCATGATTTGGAATGATACAGCTGTTTTTCTTCCACATTCTCTTGGACAATATACTTCCATGAGATAAAAACAAAATAAGTGAAATAAATCAGATCCATATAACAATGTATTGTCTCACTAGTGTGAGAAAATGAACAAATAAATAAGATCTGAGATGAGCAATAGATATTGTGAATTGGGAAGAAACTGTTCAAAAGAAAAGACAAACTGTGTTGGGGGAAAGGAGAAAGGAAGAAAGTAAAATAGGAAAAATATGTATAAGCAGGATAATTAAGATAGCTATACAGTTAGTTTCTATTCATTAAAAAGAAAAATTTAGGGGCTGGGGATTTAGCTCAGCGGCAAAAGCGCCTGCCTGGCAAGTGCAAGGTCGTGAGTTCGGTTCCCGGTACCGGAGAAAAAACAAAAAAAAAAAAGAAAAATTTGTGCTAGTATTGTATAGACAAGATATCATGCCTATATCTTCTACTCTGAATGACTAGTAGGAAGACAACAATATGCAATTACCAACTATTGTAACTGTCCTACTAACCTGTTTTGAAGCTCGGTTTTATTGTTATGTTTATCTCTTTTTTGTCTCTACAATAAAAAGAATAGAAAAAACAAGAAACAAAATAAGTATCTTACATGAACTTCTGCTTCTTGAGGTGTAGAAATATATCAGGTTTGAACAACATCCAGTAACATACATGGTATAAGACCAGTATTTGTGTAATTGTGGCATTAGGACTATTAATACAGTCCTGTCTCTGTATACCTTGATATATACTTATTAATATGTAAATATATATGTTTATGTGAAAATAAATATATATAAAACATACCCATTTGTATATTCATATACTTATGTGCAAATACAGGTGTATGTGTGGTGCCACATATGTATCTGATAAAATATGAGCCTGAATAATTGATAAGTTCTTACTCTCATTTATTAGTTGTCACTATTGATTCTGAGGCTTTTCAAAAATGAAACTGGTAAGTTTTAGTATATGCTTGATTTCACTTATTGCTTTTATTTTTACCTTGATCATCTTCACTTTTTTTTTTGTTTTGTTTTTTTTGTTTTTTTTGTTTTTTCTCCGGTACCAGGAACCGAACTCACGACCTTGCGCTTGCCAAGCAGGCACTTTGCCGCTGAGCTAAATCCCCAGCCCCATCTTCACTTTTGAACTGACTTGGATTATATTAGAAAAATCAGAATGGCTAGATGTTGTGGAAAAGTTAAGAGAGTGATATTTTAAATGCGTGCCTTACCTTCTGGCCATCATGTTACCATGGTAAGCTACTGCTGTACATATAAGATGACTTCAACTAGAGGGCTCACTGGGATGCTCTGAACTAATTCAACACAGAGACTTCATTCATGTGTTTCTTGCTTCTAATGACTGGGAAGAGTATGACACCAAGTTAACTCTCCACCTTTTTAAAAAA